TTATATTTTCTTTTATATCTTGCAAATTCTTATGATGGCCGGCCTGCTTCACTGCATCTCGAGCAAGGACCCTTTGTTTGGCTTTTAGCTGTTTGCCTTCGCCCCATTTTCTGTAGTGGCACAGAAAGAAACAAACAAATAAATCAAAAGAAAGAAGTGTTGCACAGTGGGTATTGTGGACTACCGCAGAGGTCAAATTAAACTCATATTCTATGAAAACAGGTATTGCGAATACAGCAGCAACGGCGTGCTCTTGTGCCGGCAACAGAAAAGCTACGGCTACCGATCCGCATACGGCTTCAAGTGGTCGAAGTGGTCACTTGTGTATCCAGTACTGAAAATCCAGATAACTCTGGTTTCAGATACTGCTGAAACGGTCTACGTGTGAATGCCAACTTCACGACTGAAAACTAACAAATATACCAGCAGCCATACGCATTTATTTGGTAACACACTATACGTAACGTTATGGTTGGACGTGACCCCTGATTGCTTCTTGAGTTTGGTCCGACATGGGAATAAATTCCTGTTGTATGTTTACGTTGAAATGTACATACTCCCAACAGCAAAAGTTTGCGGGACGCGAAATGTTCGAGAAAGCTGACTGCCCGCTTTGTCTAGAAATGTATTTTTAAAATAAATGTTCCCTTTTGTACTTGGCATGCCGACCGATACAGTCATCAGCTTGATTACAAGACTTATAAGCACTGTTATCGCAGAGATTTGCATTTGCTGTGGATTCAACGTCCCGCAAACTTTTGCTGTTGATAGTACGTGGGGAGCGGGCAGAGCGACACTGAACATAACGATGCGCCCAGTGCACACACGGCAGCCGAAGACCACATGCTGCAGTGAATCTTCAAAAACAGCTCCTCATGAGCGTCATGATGTGACCACTATTCGGCGTCTTGAATAGCTACAGCCGCAGACGAGGCCTAGGTACTAAATCTTTTTACTCTAAATATGCACCAAAATAATATGAGAAGGCTAAGAAAATATACGCACGATAGTTCCCATGCTCTAAAAAAATATCGGGGGAAAGCGTGGTGCAAAAGTATTTTCCTGCCTTTTTGAAGCTGAAAAGCCTTTGCAAAATTAACTTAATGATTGTCTCATAACTGCGCCTATAAAAAAGTGCACTGCAGCATGAAAACAACTATTTATAATGTGACGCAAAACACCACCGATGTTGCATTAACACCAATCACAAGGGCACTTATAAGCGATATATTGCGCCAGATGTGGATGCGATCTCATGTTTATAATCAAACATAGAAGACGTGGCGCATATATATTGCTGCTTTAAACGAACACGACAAATTGTGGGCATATGTATGTACATGTTTATATCACACAATCACCTGAGCCCTGCATCATTGCCCTCAAAGAGGCAGCCTTAACTTTATTGACAAACGCTAGATTAGCTAACATACACGCGGAACACGATCACCTGAAATAACTTGCTTTTTTGAACGCATACGTTTTGTGACAACTATAGTCACTGTCATCGTCAATGTTTCCATGCACATCTTTGACGTGAATGTCGCACAAATAAATGGTTGAAAGTTTTCACACCACAGTCGTCCTCGTGTTTCAATAGTGGTTCGTGCAAATTGCTCAACGCAAATACTTTACAATGCCCATATGCGTGTGCAGGCCTCCCTTTCAAGGAGAGGGGCGTCGCAGCGGACCCCCCTCCCTCAATCCCTATCAATGTGTCAAAAGGTATGGGGCTCGCTGAGCCCACCCCTCCTCTCATCCCCTCTGCCCCCATGCGCCGTGCGCTTGCCTATGGCAATGCTGAGTGATGTAGACAGAGAGTTGCAGCCCCTCCCCCCTCCCCACCGCCATTTTTTCCTATTTCATTGAGCATAAAATGACGGTGCACCACATCTGCCTGCCCACATCTGTAACAGACCGGACTATCTGCTATCAGCATTCGCCCTAGGCGATATCGTCTTCTCCTCCTCTCCACCGTTTCGTGCGCTTTACGTTCCTTCCTTTTCTTTCTTTCCCCCTTCCCCGCTGTGAGCGCGGCTACTTAAGCCCAGCAAATAAACGGCCAGGGGTCTTTCGTCATGGCGAGGCCCAGCCAAGTGTTCATCGTCGTCTTGTCTCTGAGTTAAACGATACATGGTGTCAGAAGTGGGATACTGACGTTCGAAATGGACCTCGTCAAGCCCCCGGAACCGTTGCAACTGTCCGGCAACATCAGGAAAAACTGGCTGGTATTCAAGCAGAAGCTGCAGCTGTTCATCACCGCTACGGAACCGGAGAAGCCCCGCCCATCGGCCGTAAAAGCAGCGATTCTTCTGAGCACCGCGGGGGACGAGGCGCTCGAGGTCTACAACAACTTCTCGTTTGCGGCAGGTGAGAGCAAAGAAGATTACGACACGTTAGTGCGGAAATTTGAAGAATATTGTGTCGACCAGGGTAATGAAGTCTACGAAAGGCACATTTTTCGACTGCGAAAGCAGGAAGAGGCCGAGCCCTTTGAGGAGTTCCTACGGGACTTAAAAAAGCAAGCAAAGCTGTGCAACTTCGGTACGCTTGAAGAGTCAATGATCAGGAATCAAGTGGTGTTTGGGACAAATAATGCGAAACTTCGAGAAAAGTTGCTGAGCGACAAAGACTTAAACTTGCAGAAAGCAGAAAAAATTTGCAAAGCTGCTGAGATTGCTGCCATTCAGAGCGCAGCATGGTCAAATGAAAGCCTGCACGTTGACGTTACACGCCGCACACACCGCACGAAGTTTGCGAATGGAACTCGGTGTCGAAATTGTAACAAGGTACATGCCCCCGAGCGGTGCCCGGCGTATGGAAAAACTTGTTATGCATACAAGAAACGAAACCACTTCGCCGCATGCTGCAACAATGCGCGCAGGATAAGCGAGGTTCACAAAGCCGAAGAAAGCAATGAAAATTTTGACATCTTGGGCATCAGAATTTGCGGCGTCACCGGAGATATAGGAGCGGATTGGATGGTTCGTGGAAAAATAGCCGGTCAGGAGATACAATTCAAGGTAGATACCGGGTCTCGGGCAAATTTGCTGCCCCTAACCCTGTTCAACCGAATCGCCCACGCAAGCACTCCGCGAAAGAGCGCTGCTGTCCTCTCCGCCTACAACGGCAGTACAATCAAACACGTTGGCGTGGCGACCGAAGATCTCGAGATAAACGAAGCACAGCATTCAGTCTCGTTCTTTATCGTGAAAAAGGGGCGCCAAGCCATCCTTGGCTTAAAGACATGCCAGCAGTTTGGTCTGGTACCGGTGACGATGGACGCCGTGAAGGTAGGCTATGGGCAAACGAAATTCCAGCTTGCATTTCCTGACCTCTTCAGCGGCACCGGCTGCGTCAGGCGACCCTACAAAATGTTGCTACGAGAGGATGCCGTTCCAGTCGTGCAGCCTGCCCGCAGAGTACCCATAGCGTTGAAAGGACGCCTGCGACAAGAACTGCAACGAATGGAAAAGGCCTCAATCATCGTCAAGGTGGATGAACCAACTTAATGGGTGAGCCCCCTGGTAGTTGTGCACAAGAAGGATGGTACCCTTCGCATTTGCATGGACCCTAGAGCAGTGAACAGGAGCATTAAGCGGGAGCACTATCCTATCCCTTCAAGAGAGGACATAGAGAACGAGCTGGCAGGAGCAAAATATTTCTCACGGCTCGACGCTAATGCCGGCTTTCACCAGATTCCTTTAGATGAGGCCACTTCACCAATATGCACTTTTGCGACACCATTTGGGCGGTACCGTTTTTTGCGTCTGCCTTTCGGAATTTCCTCAGCCAGCGAGGTGTTCCAGAAGACTCTAACAGAAATGTTCGAAGGGCTGCCGGGAGTGCGAGTCTACGTAGACGACGTTTTAATATGGGGCGACTCAAAGGAAGAACACGACGAACGCGTCATCGCAGTACTAAGGCGGGCGCAAGAGGAAGGGCTGACATTTAATCCAGCTAAATGCGTGTTCGGCACCACGCAGGTTGCATTCCTTGGCGACGTTATCGGAAGAGACGGAATTCGTCCGGGCCCCGATCTAATCGAAAGCGTCCGTGCCATGCCAGCCCCAAAAGATAAACAGGGTGTGCGCAGAATACTCGGGGTTGTGAACTACTTTCGGAAATACCTGCCAGCTTTGAGTGATAAAACGGTGTTGCTGCGTAGCCTGGTGAAAGAAGCATCGGTGTTTGAGTGGACAACAGCCCATGAGCGCGAATGGGACCAGATTTGCGCAGCGCTTACTAATCCTCCATTGCTGGCTCTTTTTGATGAAAAAAGAGACACTAAGATAACTGCGGACGCCTCAGGAGCAGGTATTGGCGCTGCCTTATTGCAAAGACACGGGGATGACTGGCGCCCAGTGACCTACGCCTCAAGAGCACTGACGCCGAGTGAAGAGCGATACGCCCAGATAGAAAAGGAAACACTGGCAATTGTTTTCGCTTGTGAAAAATTTCATCAGTTCGTGTATGGACGAAGCATTACGATAGAAACTGATCACAGGCCATTACTTGCGATTGCCGAAAAGAAGATTGCAGATATGCCACCCAGGATACAGCGGTTTTTCATCCGTCTTATGAAATATGATTTTTTGTTGCAGTTTGTACCTGGTAGGGACCTGTTACTCGCAGACCTGCTGTCTCGGGCTGCACTACCAACTGGCGGAGGCGACCAAGTCGAGGACGTGGACGTCCACACAACGCAAGTAGTCACCAGCATCATAAGCAAAGCGACTATGTTGCGGCTGCAGAAGGAAACCCGCGAAGATCCGCTTCTCAGCCGCACCATGAAACAAATGGAAGATGGCATGGCAATAGACGGTGTACTGAAACCGTATGCGGAAGAGCTATCCTTGGTCAATGGAGTGGTGCTAAAGGGTTGCAAAGTTGTGGTGCCTAAATAAGTGCGTGCGGAAATTCTTGAGCGAATTCACGAAGGCCACTTAGGTATGACCAAGTGCAAAGCTAGAGCCCGTAGACTGGTTTTCTGGCCGGGAATGAGCAGTGACATTGAGCGACGAGCGCGAACGTGCAGCGTATGTCGAAAGTACACATACAGTCAACAGAGTGAACCCCTCCTGCTACAGCCAACGCCCAACCGACCGTGGCATCGCGTAGGCATAGACCTATTTACATTCGCTGGAGAACGCTACGTAGTTGTGTTTGACGCCCATTCTAACTTTCCTGACGTCGAGAAACTCAGAGGTACCACGGCGGCGGAAGTAATCGACAAGATATCTGCTATCTTCTCGCGATACGGCATTCCCAACCAAGTTTGCACCGACAACGGGCCTCAATTTGCATCGCGAGAGTTCACGTCCTTCGTGCGCCGATATGACTTCGAGCATATCACCTCAAGTCCAGAGTTCCCACGATCAAATGGCTTAGCTGAAAAGGGGGTACAGATCGTAAAGCGTATTCTAAAGAAAACCCACGAGTCCCGGGGTGATGTATGGCTTGGTCTGTTGGCTTATCGATCTTCTCCCCTTGACAGCGGTCACTCACCCGGAGAACTACTGCAAGGTCGTCGCCTGCACGCCACTCTTCCAGAATACAACGTCGACGGAGGCATACCCGTATGGAAACAGCGACAGTCTTCCCGAGGCAGGCCACTACCACCCTTGGAAGCCGGAAATGTGGTCCGGATCAAACATGGAAGCTGGTCACGCCGAGCGAAAGTGGTACGAGAGACTGCACCACGATCATACGTGGTAAGAACGGAAGACCATGGGCTCCTGAGACGGAACCGACAACACTTGCAGCGAACGGACGAAAACTTCAACGACAAGGTCAGCCCCGAGGGTAATCCGAACCCCGACGCGAGACCCCCGACGAAGTTCAGTGATGGACACCGCGGCAACATCACGCCGGACAACCCACTGGGGTGTCACCAGGTGCAACCAGCTCAGACAGGAGAAGATTACAGCGCCACCATTTCTCCAGACACTCCAGGAAGCCCACTGGCTGGCCTGCGCAGGTCAGGACGCCAGCGCAGCGAACCGAAGCGCCTTCACTACGGGCCATCCTTCCATGAAGTAAATGAGTGCAAAAGAAATCAGTGTTTTGAAAATGTGTGAAGAGAAAATGTAACAGACCGGACTATCTGCTATCAGCATTCGCCCTAGGCGATATCGTCTTCTCCTCCTCTCCACCGTTTCGTGCGCTTTACGTTCCTTCCTTTTCTTTCTTTCCCCCTTCCCCGCTGTGAGCGCGGCTACTTAAGCCCAGCAAATAAACGGCCAGGGGTCTTTCGTCATGGCGAGGCCCAGCCAAGTGTTCATCGTCGTCTTTTCTCTGAGTTAAACGATACAGCCCTCACTTCAAGGATGTGAACCAGGCCCCCTGAATTTTTTTCCCCAATGCCTCGGGCACAGGTCATAGGAACTAGGCAAATCGAATAGAGGCTTCGCTTCAAAGACGGGTCAGCAAGTTGATTGTGTACGTCATGACCTACAAAACAATGTCACTAGCTAACATCATTTGCAATGTGTGCTTTAAACTATAACGTCAAAACACGTATAAATGTAGTAATTATCTGCCGAATTTTCAGTAGTGTAATACAGCAAAATATATTAGGGTTCATAATAAGCCTCAAAGCTTCAGGGCTCTTTTCTAGAAGACTTGGTGAGTTGTTAAGTGGAGCTAGACAACTTTATTTTTTTGCGGAACTGGTGGTCATGAAAACAGGCAATATAATACATATTGCTCACTGCAGATCTAACGGCCTCACAGAGCGCTTCCATCAAACTCTCTCCGATATGATCTCCATGTATATCACCGCCGACCACACCAACTGGGACACCATCCTGCCATTCGTGACTCTTGCGTACAATACCGCTACGCAGTGCACCACGGGCTATTCCCCATTCTTTTTCATCTATGGCCATCAAGCGACATCTCTAGTTGGCTTCTTCTTTTTTTTGATGTCCCTAAGAACTTGCCGACGTCATCGAGTGAGCACCTAATCTCTCGCCTAGACGCTTGTCACCGACGTGCCCAGCCAACAAGAGGAGTTAAGACTCGCTACAATGACGCTCACCACCTAGTTCACTTCAATACTGGAGACGAAGTATTGTTGGAGATCCCAACACGAGTTTCTGACCTGTGTGAAAAGTTTCAGTCACGTTTTATTGAGTAGACGTCTCCTGTGAACTATCGAGTAACTCCCGTTGTCATGCCCAGCGACGGCTTCTTCGTGGCACACAGCTCAATTCACGTGTCGCGCTTAAAACCATTCGTGCTAGGTACAACACCACCATAAACAGCGGCCAAGTTGGCCGCTTCCACGCGAGACTGAAATTAGTGTAAGTGCAATATTCACAGCATGGACCTTCATTTTGTTCATTTGTATATAATCATAATCACAGCGAGCGTCTTCTTCGTTCGATGCGTTGATCGGGTGGTTCTGCTTAATGAACGTTGTCGCGATCCCAACGCTGCTTCTGCGAAGTGTGGCAGCTTGGGCTAGTTGGTATGGCACGACGATAGTTATGGCGCGAGATCAAAATGACGACACAGAGGCAAAAAGAACACGAGCGCTCATGTCCTTCGTATCCTTCTTGTCTCTGTGTCATCGTTTCGATCTCACGCTGTAACTTGGTATGTGGTGTTTAACGTCCCAAAACCACCATATGGTTATGAGAGACACCGTAGTGGAGGGCTCCGGAAATTTCGACCACCTGGGGTTCTTTAACGTGCACCCAAACCTGAGCACGTGGGCCTACAACATTTCCGCCTCCACCGGAAATGCAGCCGCCGCAGCCGGCATTCGATCCCGCGACCTGCAGGTCAGCAGCCGAGTACCTTAGCCACTAGACCACCACGTCGGGGCCTCGCGCTATATCTATTGTCAGGCTGCTACTGCCTCCCAGTACGCCTACATACTACTTAGTGGGCAACGGCATCTGTTTTCCCTGAAAAAAAGTTCTTAAGCATATTTCATTTCTGCTTGTAGCCTGAACAATTCCAGAGGAGTTTTGTTGCTGCATCATCAAAGAAAATCGCCGGTTTTAAATAAACCTCCAAATGTGCTCTGTAGATGTTTCTGTTGCTTTCACACCTAATATGCCACCTATAGAAATGTTTGAAATGCCCAGGTGAATGCTTAGTACGGATGAAGCAACATAAATTTGTTCTATATAAGAAAAACTGACTATTTCCTGCGCATTGCATTCTTTTTACATTTTATAAGGCAAGCTTGCTTTCTTTTTCCTGCTCTATTACTCGGGAAGAAGAAAAATAATTGTAATCGGCTTCAAATTTGAAGCTCACATTTTTTGCCAGATTTTTTTATCTTTCTTTTAGGCTACATTAGTTCTTCCATCAGTGTAGCCTACATTAGGTGGTGTTGAACAGTACTGTGCTTTCTTTTTCAAGTTTTACGCTGTTTTGGCACATATAATTTCAAAATTACACTGATGTAGTGATGTTACAATCAACCTAAGTGAATTGGTCTGTTTATTTCTCAGGTTTTTATGTGTAGGCTTCGATTATAGGTATCTGACAAATTTTCAAGCGGCACGTATGTACACGTATATGTTTTTTGACGCTCACAAGCAGCTTTGTTACTACATTCATGCCCAGACATGATGGCTGTTAGTACGAGTAAGAGAAGCACATTCTAATGTGTACTAAACAATAGTAACAACATGGACAAAGAATGGCATGGTGGGCCAGGAATTCCATCTAAACAAGCTCTATTCCCCCTAAAATATTTGAAATATACAGAGAGAGTTGAAGATAACATCGAGTCATTGCTTAAAAAAACAGGATCTGCACAATTCCATGCACATTTGTAAACTGAAGAAAAATTGGTAGTTGTGCAAGTAGGTGCACAGTTTTAAAGAATCAAACAGTTGAGGATTTCTTCTTCACTGCCCCTAGTTGTGAAACCTGTTTTATACACAGGTAAGAACAGGAATGCACATTCTGACCTTGATTATCCATATAGAACAATACATCTGGACACTTCTGACAAGAAAAAAAAGGACAGATTTCGCCATATGCAACAACATGATACAGAGAAGCTTTAACTAAAGGCAAGTGGAAGGAGGCAACATCCTGAAACTTCAATATGGGTAAGATGCAGTTAGGGGCATTGGAACTATTCCGACCCCCTGGTGACTGTTCATGTGCAACCACAGCAGAAATTAAGAATAAGTTTCTAATTTCCCTTAATTGAATAAGACTGCTGATCCTGAAAACTTGGTACCTACTTTGTTGTTGTGTTTAGTCAGTAATACGACACTTAAATCTTGTTAACTGGCTAGCTGAACTTATCTAAGTACAAAGATATATACAAAAAGTGTGCCATATGGAGGTAGGAATGTAGAGTGTTCAGAAGTGTGGGAGTCCGGCAAACATGTGAAAGCTAGACATGATCTATCTTAATTGATTGAATGAGTTTCACAAAGAGATGTGTTTTGCAAGGGACAGAGGAGGTAGATGATTTAAAAGAAAACCATGCAAAGGTTACTTGCACTTTGCCAAATTATTCATTTTTTTCATAAACCATGAATGGACTGTGAAATTATTTAGCATCTTTGGAATCTATCGTTTTTCAAAATCTGAAAGAAGTATCAGCTTGGTTTGGAAGACTTGTTGTGAATAGTCAACTCATTTACTTCATTGTTCAGACAGGAGACTTTTTCCTGTTTAAGCTTTATTATACAATCTCTCAACAATTCTTTTATGGTGCATTTGACCCATACTCTTTGTTTTTATAATCGGACTCGGAATGTTGTGGTCTTTTCTTGGCTCAGCATATCATCTGCTTCTTGATCAAGGGGAAACATTGTGTTTTGAGTCTTCATTTCTTCCCTCGCATTGACTGTTTTGGGTTGCAGCAGAACTGGTGCTGTAGCATTATTCTGATGGGGAAGCTAGTGAAAGCTCTCAATTTCAAACTGAAATGAGTGCTTGTTCAATTAAATTGAACCTTCAATGACATTGGGGCCGTTAGGCGTAATGTGTTGAATACGAGGTCATTTTTAAATTAGATTGACCCTTCAGTGACATTGGGGCCGTTAGGCGTAATGTCTTGAATACGAGGTCATTTTTAAATGTGTGCTCATCTCTCTATGTTAGGTACAGTACGTACACATCTCGAGGCTGTTGGCACTTATCCGCAGACTGCAGGGCTTTTATTTTTCGCAGTGAGTAGGCACTGTCAGTCGAAGACCACTGTGCTCAGTAGTAAGTTTGCTGCGTGTTGACATGTATACCTCTGATGGTGTCAACAAATATTTTGGTCAGCACTTGTAATAATTGTTTTCCATTCACTTTCAGAAATATGTGGATTTAGCTTAGTTTGCTGCTTTGAGGTGCCAAAATTGTTTCCTCCTCATTATTCAACACCAGGCTAGCAACAACCAAATTTGTTCGATTGTGTGGTCTTTGTACATAAATAAAGGGTGGTTCATATGAGATCATATTTTTTGTTCTATGTAACTTAATGAGACTTTCCGGCTTTTTGGAAATGAAAGCTTTTGAGTAATAGTGCGTAAAGTTTAAATGCAAAGTTGCGTTAAGCAGTGAGATATGAGCACCTGCCCTTGGCTTTACATTTACTTCAATAGTATTGAACTAGAACTTACGTAAAGAAGATGATAGTACCAATATAGCACTTACTCACAGAAACATCATTATACCTATAGCAACTAGACCTTAAATTAATATATCACATTTGTTGAATTCGTTTAAAGGGCTCTCTTGCTGAGTTGAGTCCTGACAACATAAATTCATTTGCCTTCTTACAAAGCCACCTCAGCTGCATATTTTTGCGCATGTACAGATGTGAGCAATATCTAGTTAGCACTTATCGCATCTTACAGAATAATTGATTCTTGATGTTGTAACAAGGACATCTGTAGTAGAATTTCTACTTTCATTTCAATTAGCTAGCTGCACTTTCACATATTGTACAATCTTCAAGGCAGTCCTATCCACTGTGCCCCAATTACATTTGTTTATTTATGCATACTGTCAAAGCAGTAAGGTATTACACAGGGCAATGGTTGAAGAACAAGTGAAGGTCCTAATGAAAAATGGGGATTGTTTTTTAGACATAACCACATAAAACCAACAGGCAATCAAAAAAGAAAGCATAAAGATTATATTAATTGTTTCGAACCGTAGAGTAGGAAATATGAAATGAATACGAGTGTATTAAAGTGAACCAAAAAGCAACAGTTCTGAATTTTAGCTACATAATGTTAGCTGATGATTCACAAAAAATAACAATGCCTTATGCACCCCCAAGTAATCCAAGAAAGCGGTTCTGATTCTTTGAGCTCCAAAGGATCAATAAGCAGGATAGGCTTATGGCGGTGCGTGGCGATTATGGCAATGTGATGGTAATTGTAGAACGATTGTGATGGGCGTGGCACTTGCTGTATTAATATGGTTGTTAGTCATAAGTTTGGCAATGATATTCTGAGGAAGTTTTAATAAAGAAAGCAGTTTGCTAATGTATATATGGTTGCTCACATAGTGGCCACATATCCCAGTTTTCTACTGATAAGTTTTGCAAAAAGATTTAACTTTAGAGGAGGAAGAGGCAGAAGAGATGTCATGGCCATGATCAGCTAGCATGTGATGAGCATTGATAACACTGTGTGATTGCCAAGATAGCGGAATAAAAATACAGGTTCAAATGGCGTACAGTTTAAAAGATCACAAGTATTGGTAGTGGCAGTTTGAGTTGAGCGGAGTGCTTCGTGTATCGGGCACGAGTTATTCCCCAACTACCGATACGGCACCGCACATGCGCAGCGTACATCTACCAAAGTATAAATACAGCGCATGCAATAAAACGAGCATTCTTGTTCGGCACTCTGCTGTTGCCTCCGTCATTTATCAACACGATATATTTCGATATTACACAATTCAGCTTTATGAGCCACACGTTGCAACAGTTGAGGAATCTAGATCATTTAAAGGTCATAATGTCCTTACGGCACGTCATTTCACAAAATGCCAATAATCAGCAATGGCCTGAATATTAGAAGATATTTTGAAAAGTTATTAATGCCTATTAGAAATATGTCATGTCCTAGAACATACAACTTTGCGACAGCAGAATAAACAAGCTTCCCTAGATGTCATGCCATTGCATGCAACAGACTGTGTAAGCCAGGTGAGAAAACGAGGGCCTACATTTAATTTGCTTAGTTTAAAGAGAAACAGTTTGTGACATACTTTATCAAACTCTTTCTGCTAATCGAAAAAATTGTCAGTGATTGAAAAGTCAATATATAAATAAACTTTTGGAGTGAAGGAAGGCAGTTGAGCTTCAAAAGAAAATGAATTACAAACAAATTGAACTTTGCACTGAGCCATGAATAAATGATACACAGCCAAACTGGTTGGTCTGATATTTGTTTATTGCCCCGCCGCGGTGGTCTAGTGGCTAAGGTACTCGGCTGCTGACCCGCAGGGCGCGGGTTCGAATCCCGACTGCGGCGGCTGCATTTCCGATGGAGGCGGAAATGTTGTAGGCCCGTGTGCTCAGATTTGGGTGCACGTTAAAGAACCCCAGGTGGTCTAAATTTCCGGAGCCCTCCACTACGGCGTCTCTCATAATCATATAGTGGTTTTGGGACGTTAAACCCCACATATCAATCAATCAATATTTGTTTATTGCCATATTCACAGGCATTTGTGCACGTGTGCTGCCTAATATGCCGTGTTTATCTCTTTTCCCTCTCTACTCTCTATCTTTTATCTCCCCTATCCTCCTCCTATGCGCAGGGTAGCAAACCAGCTGCATATAGACTGGTTACCCTTTCTGCCATCCTTTTTCTTCTGTTTTCCTTCCTTCCTTCACAGGCGTAAGCATGGGAGAATGGTCAGGGGGAGGGGCACACCTCCTAGTCACCTAAAAGAGGGGAAGCAAAGTCTGCCCCATATATTGACTAAATAAAGAGGGGCAGCACTGCGACAAATCTTTGCCTCTCTTCTTTGATGAACCTTACTCACACTTATGACTGTATCAAGACTTACCTTATGCTTGACTCGGTTCGAACTTAGCTCTAGCATTATCTAGCTACCATATTAGTATGTTAAATTTAGGCTTTAACTTGGCTCAAATTGGCTAGCTGTAATGATGAATAAATGTTGCTTAAACTTGGCTGTTGCAAAATTGAACTTTTTCTTGAAATTTGCTTTACCTCGGCTGTGACTTTGTTGAAACAAAGTCACAGCCGAGTTTGCGGGAACGTTTTCAACATGGCTATTCAAGCGATACTGTAAATACCAATCTCATGCAGCAGCAAGCATTGTTTCTCACATCGCGGCTTCTTCCTGGAGAGTGTGATTTTCTTTTGGGTGCCCCAAGGCTGCTATTGGCAAAGTGCGAGCTGTACACTAGCTTTTATAGCCACAAAGTATTACGATACGGTAGTGAGATAATGCATAACGCACATATGCCATTGGTTAGTTGTTCCAAGTACGTAGCACGATGCTCTCGGGTATCCCTTCCATAAATACACATACCTGTTTATAACATTGATTGGTTTCTGAAAGGCTGCACAAATTTTTGGCGCATGCCCGTTTGTTGAGCCAACTGTTACCTTCTTCATTTTTAGTGGACTAGTGGTCAGTCGTGGGATTTACACCGTTTTCGTGGTGCCCCAAGCAACAATTTATCCTCGGCAAAAGTCGGCCAGACGTCTGTGACTGACTGCGAAGTGATTGGTCCGACCTTCGCAACCAACGTAGGGTGGGTCTAGGGTATTAACATTGACCTCACGTTGCCGACGTCGGCACACAACGTAGGTCCAACCGCGTTGGCCGACAAACCGAAGTGCGTGTCACACGCGGGTTGACCATGGAATGACCTTAGATAAGCGGCAATTTACCTACGGCTGCAGGTCGGTTGCCAACGCTCCTTGTTCTGCTTTTCTTTTTTTGTATTTTGTGCGCATGTCATTAGCTCAGTGGTCATGTAAGACTAAATCAAATGCATGTAAAGTCCGCATTTGTTAGCGTGTGTGTACGTAACACGCAATAAAAGAAAGGCGAATGTAATCTTCCTCACTTTATATGATTATTCCGCAGCTGTAATAATGCACTATTTTTCCATGCAGCATTGTTTGCAAGGAATGATTTGCAGCAGGCCTCGTGCGACCCAACTATACAGTCAACGGAGTAGTATTCCTGCTAGATCAGTTCTCTCTTTGGTCGATTTTCGTGCTCTTAGCCATGAGTACATATTCAGTGTGCGACCTTTTACCACCGAGATGTCAGGCTTGTATTTATCTGGCGCTGGAAGAAGCTGAAAAGAAAAAAAAACAGAACGATTATTACTTAGAAAAAAGGCTGACTACTACATGACTAGTTACACAGTCACATGCGTTTATGAGCTATATTCACACAATTCGGCAAAAGAATTTTGTGGGTATATACAAAATAAGAAAAAAACTGTGCAATTTTAACAGTTATGTCAGTGCATTGAGATTCTGAAACGTGCTTGAAGCCCTAGGGCACACAGTTTCTTCGTAATATGTCGCTGAAAAACAACCAGTGCAACAAATAAATTGAGGTCAACACACCTCACTTTCAAGGCGGGCCAGGAAGATATTTTTCAGTCGGCGTTTACAGCCCATTTGCAACCTAATATAACGTGAAACAATTGCGCAGGACTTTAGCAACCAAGCATGCATCTTACCAGACTTCCTTTCAGTGCAGTGAGACCAGTGCATCAGGCTATCCACACTTTTGGCACTCCTTGTTGCAGTGCTTCCTAAAGAAAAAATCAAACTTTGTCATACTCTTTCAATAAAAACAAATGAACAAAAAATACGAAAGGCATATATTTACTCATAAACGATCAATGGCGACTGATACAACAGCCGTTCACCTGAATCATTCTTTAGTGCCAACCACTGGCACGCGTATGCACGCGCCTACGCGTCAAAAGTGTCTACTCGCGCCTGTGGAGAAAATGGCGCGCAACCACTGGCACGCGTCAACCGCGTTGACGCCCACGCGTCCAAGGTCGATGCACAATGTTGCTTGACGTTTTGGCTTAGAACTGTCCAAGTTCAGCCCAGAACGGCACGTTCCTAACTGAAGCGGGTTTATATGTTTTAGAGGATATGAGAACGCATTCAAAATTGATAGTGCTTCACCCACCACAGTTTAGACTATTTTAGAAGTAATTGACATTCCAGTGCCCAAAGTAACTACAGCGGTATGCACCAGAAATCAATTTCGGTGCGTGCGCCGCTCCCCCGAATGAACATTCGCCTCTAGCATACTGTACGTCTATCATAGGCGTGTGCAGAGTTCTCCGAAAGGAGG